CATTATGTATATTTAAGGTAGGATATTATTATTATTATTATTATTATTATTATTATTATTATTATTATTATTATTATAAATGTATGGGCTAAACCTGTAAGAGTCATTAACGTAGAATAACCTAGTACGTATACTTTAAGATAATTCACTATAGTCAGTAGGACTAATTTTCATTTGTTCCCAGTACGTAAGTATCGTATGTACAGTAATAAGGTAGCCGCACACAGCAAGCGTGCCTAGGTGTGTGCAGTAGGTAGAGTGATTTTAAGCAAATAACAATATTGCGACTAGCCGGAGGGATCGACCCCTCCATATTTTAGGACGCCTCCCGAGAAGCCTGCCAAAATTCCGAGACGCCTTAGTCTACTGGACCATCAGTGCTTCAGACATCAGATGCCCAGTACCACGGGACATGTCACTCTTGATGCCAGCACATACGTGGCCGTGGTAAGTTACAGGACTAGTTTCATTCTCCTCCCGTTTGGGGAGGAGAATGAAATTAATGGATCCAGAAAACTTCATCCATGCAGACAAAAGAAAAAATGTACCATATAGGTGTGAAGAATGGGTTTTATATGTTGCAGCAAGAATGGCGTGTTTGAGGGCAATATGTAGTGTGAATATTATACAGAGAATTCTGAGTTTGGAGATTTGAAGGCGAGGAATTGCCAAAATTATAGAATTTGGGAAGAATTTAATATCCTATGGAGAGGGAGCATGGACACGGGGGTCGTCCCACAGTTATTAAAAACAACAGACATAGCCCCACTCCACAAAGGGGGCAGTAAAGCAACAGCAAAGAACTACAGACCGATAGCACTAACATCCCATATCATAAAAATCTTTGAAAGGGTCCTAAGACCCCCGAAACTCTCTCCAGGTAAACTCCAGGTAAGAAGCAAGATCACCACCCATCTAGAAACCCATCAGTTACACAACCCAGGGCAACATGGGTTTAGAACAGGTCGCTCCTGTCTGTCTCAACTATTGGATCACTACGACAAGGTCCTAAATGCACTAGAAGACAAAAAGAATGCAGATGTAATATATACAGACTTTGCAAAAGCCTTCGACAAGTGTGACCATGGCGTAATAGCGCACAAAATGCGTGCTAAAGGAATAACAGGAAAAGTCGGTCGATGGATCTATAATTTCCTCACTAACAGAACACAGAGAGTAGTCGTCAACAGAGTAAAGTCCGAGGCAGCTACGATGAAAAGCTCTGTTCCAAAAGGGCACAGTACTCGCTCCCATCTTGTTCCTCATCCTCATAACCGACATAGACAAGGATTCAGCACAGCCCCGTGTCTCCTTTGCAGATGACACCCAAAATCTGCAATGACAGTGTCTCCATTGCAGACACTGAAAGGGCTCCAGTGCTAACTCAACCAAATCTTTCAGGGGGCTGCAGAAAACAATATGAAGTTCAACGATGAGAAAATTCATTACTAAATAGGGTAAACACGAGGAAATTAAATCTTCATCAAGTACAAAACAAATTCTGCCACAAAATGAGCAAAACACCACGACAAGACGTGGATTGATCATTCGGAGATCCACCTTAAAAACCCATAACATTGTATCAATCGCATCTTTCTAGAAAAATGAAAGGAGGGAAATGAAACCCCTTCAAAACTAGGGAGGCCAAACCCATGATACACTCTTCAGTCCATGTTCTATCTAGGCTGGAATATTGCTGCACACTAACAGCCCCTTTTCAAGGCAGGTGAAATTGCTGACCTAGAAAATGTACAGAGAACCTCACGGCGTGCATAACGGAGATAAAACACCTCCATTACTGGGAGCGCTTGAGGTTCCTAAACCTGTATTCCTGGAACGCAGGCGGGAGAATACATGATTATATACACCTGGAAAACCCTAGAGGACTAGTACCGAACTTGCACACGAAAATCACTCACTACGAAAGCAAAGACTTGGCAGACGATGCCAACACCCCCAATGAAAAGCAGGGTGTCACTAGGGCGTTTTAAAAGACCATACAATAAGTGTCAGGGGCCCGAGACTGTTCAACTGCCTCCCAGCATACATAAGGGGGATTACCAACAGACCCCTGGCAGTCTTCAAGCTGGCACTGGACAAGCACCTAAAGTCGGTTCCTGACCAGCCGGGCTGTGGCTCATACGTTGGTTTGCGTGCAGCCAGCAGCAACAGCCTGGTTGATCAGGCTCTGATTCACCAGGAGGCCTGGTCACAGACCGGGCCGCGGGGGCGTTGACCCCCGGAACTCTCTCCAGGTAAACTCCAGGTAAACATTATACAAATAATAAATCTTAATTCTTGGGTAGAATAGTTTGTAGGTTGTGTGAAGGACCTGTCTAGTTGGGCCAGCGGGCCTGCTGCAGTGTTTGCTTTCTTATGAGTCGCGCATCAGGTGTTGCTTTGTTGTGGGATGTGATGGTGAGGTGTGGGATAGACCCTTTATATGCCTTCCTTTGATGCATTACTTTTATTGTTCCTTGATAATGTGAGTAGTCATTAAAGCGCTTGGAATTTCATTATTATTTCACAGTGGTTGTTGTGCATATAAAATATAATAATATATATATATATATTATATATATATATAAAATATATATATAAAATATATATATATATATATTATAATATTATTATATAAATGGAGTCCACCTCTGGTGTAAATTGTGGGACCATGACCTCGGAGAAGCGGTTAAAAAGGGTTGAGTAAGAATAATTGGATTTCTTTCTGAAGCCATTTGAATATTCCACTTCTCCTACCCTTTCCCCCCCCCCCCCCATCTTTTTATTGATGCAAAACCAACCCCGTGGGGGTTTTTAATGTAACTCAGGCT